ACCTAGCCACAAAGTCAACAGCGCTGTCAAAGTGTTTTACAGCTATTCGGGCAAATGCTTTGATGGCAGCTGCTGCCTGGGCATTGCAGCATCAGGTTTCTGTTTAATACCTCAGTGCTGCATGATTCACTCATTTGCTTTTAGAACACTGGCCTAAATTTAAAAGCATTTAATACTTCATGCTTTGCCGCTACTTTGCCCTGCGTCCTTTTCTTTTCTTTTTCCCAAAAGTGGAGCATAAATAGAGCCCTACACATAAACATGCTACATTCAGCCTTCTTTAATTCCTTCTTTTCTTTTCTTTTGTTTGTTTGTTTGTTTGTGTTTGTGTGTGTGTGTGTGTGTGTGTGTAATTAACAGTCAGTCATTAATGAAAACTATAAAATGATTAAATCAATTTAGTTTAGCTGAAATTAAATTAAAACAAATTAATATAGATAGATAGATAGATAGATGTTGAATTATTTATTATTTGGTGATTATTTATTATCATTTTTGTGTGTATTTAGTTTAAAATGAAATAAATTTAACTGAAATAAACAACAACTAACAACTGGGGAAACAGTAGCTTAAAGGTTTTCATCACTCCAAGAGTGAACTAAACTAAAATAAACACTAAAAAAACGAATAAATTAATAACAAACTAATAAATGATCGGATTATATTATTATTATTATTATTATTATACATAAAATGATTATTATATTAAATTATTTGTTCTGTATATATTTTAAACATTTGTACTTTTAAATAATACATTTACAAAAATGTATTTTTCTTCTATTATATTGTATTATATAAAACAATGAAAGACTGACGTAGTGGGAAAAAATCCAAAATTCAAATATATGCAGTCAGTCAGCCAAAATTATATGAAACTGTCATGCTCCTGTCATGTCATGCTACATTCTGCAGGAATCACATGCATATCATGTTTCAGATAATGCCCTTGCAAATTTTTATGTATATTTATCTTTTAATCGGCCATCTGGCTGATGCATGACTGTAAACAGGCCTGTTTTTAGCAGTGAGCCCCACTTGAACATAGCTGGCATGGCGGGAATCAGTGCAGACAAGCTGTCTGTCAGAGCGCTCGTTAAAGACAAGTCATTGCGAAGAACCTGGGAGATAGTTACTTTCAATCTGTCCGTTCAGGATTTAGAGTCCGAACAGGTGGTGGTCGAATTTGGCTTTTTGCACTGATTTGGAAGCAGTTTCTATGTGAATGGCCACATGTATGTTTACACAAGGGAAACTGGATCTAGATCAGTGTAAACAGCTAACTTACTGGACATGCTGTGGTGTCGTGTGCACTGTGGTATGATTTAGCTGATTAGATGGATGCAGATGTCACCACTAAGGCCTTGGAGTAAAGATCTCAAATATTAGCATTCTCATACCAGACATGTTCCTTTGGCTTTCTTTTCCTGTCAGAGTTGAAAGATGCAGAGGATCCCCTTCCATCATTCCCTGACCTTGAGCAACGCCTGCAGGTAAAGTTTATTAATAATCTGTATAAAACATGATGGCATAGTACTGCATGCTTAGAATACAGAGTCTGCTGAAGAAAAAAAGTTATAATAAGACTCTGATAGTAGTAGATCTTATATATTTGGCTATATATCTCACAACTAAAGATGTATTGTATAGTAAAGATGTATGTATTAAAGATGTTTGGGGTCATACAGTGTGACGGGTGTGCAAAAAAAAAAAAACGGTAGAAAAGCTAAATCCACTGTGCTAATATTAGCGCTAAACAGCAGAATTAGCAGGAGTGAGTGGTGGGTTTGTACCATAGACTGTATAAAAACATGGACATAGTGTCCGTGACGTCACCCGTAGGTTTTTGAACATAGACATAATAAATACCATGGCTGTGTCCGAAATCGCCCCCTATACCCTTAAATAGGGCACTATTTGAGGGAACAGCCATTTTTAGTGGTGTCCGAAACCATAGTGGACGTTCTCGAGTGTACTCATTCAATCCCACAATGCACTGCAAAAACGAGTGTACAACTGGTGCACGCTCATGCACTCCCCCCCCCTCACAGTTGTCATTAAGGGCAAAATCATTTTTTGAACCAGGCTGTAAACATGTTTTTTTCTGCTGTAAAGTTGGGCAATTTAACATGGTGGTCTATGGGATTGACTCCCTTTTGCAGCCAGCCTCTAGCGGCCAGTCGATGAATTACAGTTTAAGTCACTTCCGTGTTGGCTTCACGAGAGAGAGCGGGAGGTTGCGGCTTGGTTTGTACAGAAGGGTGAAGTGAAATGATCCTGCATTTAAGATTCATGAGGAAAGAAGCTAAATCAGACAGAAATAGTCTCACATCCACCCAGACAATATTATAAACATCTGCAGATCACGAAAAATATTTTACTGCTGCTTTAAAAGGTTTGTTGTTTTCTCGTCCTTGACTGGACAGGACATTTGTTCCTCCTTTGACTATTTTCAATTTGTTACACAACATGTTATTTGGCTTATTTAATGGGATATTTAGAGAATCCAACTTTCTCGATGAGAAAATGTTTCAGCAATGCTTCTGTAAGACCACAAGATGGCATTAGTTTTATTTACTTTTAAATTATCGTTACAGTCAAAGGGAAATAGGGCTGCACGATAAATCGCATGCGATATTTAACGCGCATCTTATCAGTAAAGCCGGTTCTGTAATCAGCGGTAAATCTCCATCACGTGCGTGCTTTCACATTGAGCAGCATTAACTACACAGAGCCGTTGTTCACTGACGAGCTGCGCAAAACCATGTTCATATTCGCGCGATTTTTTGCGCAGCTCGTCAGTGAACGACGGCTCTGTGTAGTTGATGCTGCTCAATGTGAAAGCACGCACGTGATGGAGATTTACCGCTGATTACAGAACCGGCTTTCTGACAAGATGCGCATTAAATATCGCATGCGATTTATCGTGCAGCCCTAAAGGGAAATCAAAATTGAATTATAATATCAAAATGATAAATTTGAAATAAAAATAAATGTATTAATTCAAAAATATTATTAAATAAAGCATTACATTTTTGTCTCTAGAAGCCCATCATTTATTATTACTATTATTAAAAATAAATGTATTAAATGCAAAATAATAATAATTACATTTAAGATTTGCCTGTAGAAGCCCATACCTAATTAATGTATTATTATTATTATTATTATACAGTAAATACATTTATTAAATACTGTTAACTATTAAATAAAAACATTTAATCTTTGTCACTAGAAGCTGACACATTTTGTATCTAATATACCTTTATTGGTCTTATTGTAAACAGTATGAAAAACAAATACTTATCTTCACAATCATACTATTTTTTCCCCCTATAAATATGCTGTTTCACTCAAAAATATGCTACATTACGCAAGTAAATGGAGAGTGAATGCTGTTTCATGCTGACATGTAGGGTTGGTTTTGATTGTTGACAATATGACCAGTTCAGTATTTTTTCCTCATACAATTTCCTCATAACTAGTACATTACTGAAACAAAAAAAGGCTGTCACTAATATCAAATACTCTCCGACTGTTTTTTAGACAAAAGGCTAAAGTGAGCAAACTCTAAGAGCTTACATGTGTCTCTTTGCATCAAAGCATGACATGTGCTAACTATAGTGTGTAGATTCGAAAAATCTGTAATCTTTATCTTTCAATATATTCTTTATCAATCTATAAAGCCATTTGTGAAATGATTTTGTTTTTATTTAAATTTGTGTTATGCTATAGGCTATGCTATGATTATTAATTATCAATGCCTGGTTGATCAATTGTGTTTAGAAGAACAGTGCTGCTAGCATTTATAGGAAGATCCCCATAAAAGTGTCACTCTCTGAAATGCTAAAATTGTCCTACATCAAAAATCATAGGCTGGAAACACTGATGAAAATGAAAGTGCACTGTAAAGCCTTGAAAGTATACCACTTTTTAGGATTTCAAACAACCTTTTTTGAAAAACCTTGTTGAGATTTTCAAAAATAGATTTGTATTTTTCAAATCACACAGTATACTAGTATAAAATTGTTGTGAAATGTATGTAAAGACAAGTAACATTAAATACATAATTGCATGACTTATTTAAGAATCTATTTTTGTATATATATATATTTATTTATTTCTATCTTTTGCTGTAGTGTGTCAGTAGGAAATATCTATGAGGGGCCCGTAAGCCATGATTCATTCTGGTGCTCTCACACACTTACATTCTCCTTTTGCGTACATATATTTCTGCTTACATCAGGGCTGTCCAAACTCGGTCCTGGAGGGCCGGTGTACTCTGCAGGACACCGGCCCTCCAGGACCGAGTTTGGACAGCCCTGGCTTACATATATATATATACACTTTACTTTTCAGCACATAAATATATTCTGACTTTCATGCACATATGTATTCTTTATTCTTACATACCTGCATTATAACTCACATAGTTTCACATATGTACTGTATATACTTCACATATACACTTAAGTATGAGTATATAAGTATATACGTACATATGTATGCATGCATGTCACATCTCTTTTTTTTTTTTTGGTATCCATTACTTCCACTTTAAGTAGGTCACTCTCAAACCAGGAAATACATTTGCAATACTTGATCAGCTCATCCTAACACAACTATACAATTATGTTATTCAAAGTCATCCTGTTTTCTTTTCAAGTACAGTTTTTAATTGTAATTTTTAATTTTCAAATTTCATTCTGTAACCTACTTGTTTACAGATCTGTGTACAAGTGTTATGATACTGATTTTATGTTGACAGGGCACAATCATTCATTCATTCATTCAATCAATCAATCAATCAATCAATCAGACTTACTGTTTTCATTGTTGACGTAACCTTGTATTGAAATAAATGATAACCATTTAGCACAAATAGATACAATATAATAAAAATGAAATTAACCATGCTTTAAGTTTTTCAGGTAGGTCTAACTGTATGCCAGTCAAGGATGCACTGATCAGGATTTTTCATGACCGATTCCAATTGCTGATTTTTTTCACAATCAAATTGTCTGATTCCCATATGGTTGCCGATTTATTTATTTTTTAATTATTATTTTAATTTATTAATTGTTTATTTGCTCTGTTACTGGCCAAACTGACCTTAAACAAACAAAAAAATATCGGCAACATGAAGCAACTGCACAAAACAAAAGCGAAAATGTATGATTGTGAGCATAAAATATATGAATATAAGAGGAAAATGTATGAATGTGTTCATTAAAATATGTGACTATGAGAGCAAAAATGTATGTTTGTGAAAGAAGAATGTAAGTGTGTGAGAGTATAAATATATGTGAAAAAGAGAATATAAGTGTGTGAGAGCACCAGAATGAATTGTGGCTTATGGCCCATCATAAATATCAGTTTACATTTCCAAACATTAATTTTGCCATTAATTGTAACAATCCAGTGAGATTTTTGTATGCACAAGGAGTCTGACAACAGCTAGTACCCATCATTCAGTCCATCTGGAGTAATATGAAGAAACAGAAAAAAACTATGGCTAAGTCTCCAAGATGCTTGAAGAAGCCTTCCTACAAAGCTATGAAAAGTTTTAGGCACTTGTGTAAAAATGCTGTAAAGTGAGGATGCTTTCAAAAATAATGTCATAAATAGATTTTATTTATCAATTAACGTCTATTAACTGAATCAAATCAATATTTGGTGTGACCACTCTTTACATTTGAAACAGCTTTTGTCCTTGGTACACTTGCGCATTGTTTTTCAAGTAGCTTTGTAGAAAGGTTTCTTCAGGCAACTTGGAGACGTTGCCACATTCTGGATTTAGTCTGTCTCAGTTTGTTCTGTTTCTTCATGTCATTCCAGACAGACTGGATGATGGTGAGATCAGAACTCTGTGTGGAGCACTGGCTGTTGTCAGATTCAATGTGCATACAAAAATCTCACTGGATTATTACAATTAATGGCAAAATGAATGTTTGAAAATGTAAACTGATATTTCCTACTGACACACTACAGCAAAATAGAAATAACTGACTTAAAACCCCCTTTTTTGTTGGTGAAAATACTAATGGCCTAAGATACATACTATATATGTAATGTAAAGTACAGTCAACACTGTTATATATAAAATGTATAGAACATTGTACATCATACAGTATATCATATATTTGTAAACCATATATACTATGATATTTATATTGTTATGTAATATGTTATATGGTTTATTTATAAGGGAAACACTAGAACTTTCTTGTCATCTAAATGCCACTGTAAATTTCCAGTGTTTGTTCTCTTTCTCATTTTTTTTCCCTAAAGAGGAAAACACATGAACTTTTTCAGATACACTGAGTTCAGATAAAGCACCAAACTCAGCTGTTCAGGAATATACTGTAAATCAATTCTGTATATTTACTGCAGATGTATTACTCATAGAGACTCAATTCTGATGTTGCCTAGTGATATGCTGTGTATAGTGTCTCTGATTCATCCTTGTGCAGTGAGACACTTTTAACC